GTGTGGGGAAAAAAAAAAGTAGTTAGTTAACAGTTGATTGACAGTTGAGAGGCGGGCCGAAAGAGCAAAGCTCAACCCCCGCAAAAACACATCTAGTAAACACACACACACACACACATGGTTGTCCCCCGCGCCCCGTGCATGGAGCACAAGGGCACACCTGGAGCGGTGATTATCATACCTGACCAGGTGAAGGATAGTCTTGCCCTCTGACCTGCACATTACCACTCTGACAACGCTATCCACATAGTTCTACGTCCCGAGTCCTCTGGGGAAGAGGGATAGAGGAAGGGGGAAGGGAAGGGAGTCAGGGGGTCGACAGAGCAGCAGGGAATCCCAGCTACACCATTCACTATACTTGTGCAATCGTGTAATTGTCTAAATAACTGTGCAGTTTTGTATTTTTGCAGCGTTCAGAGGTGTGGTTCTGTCTTGTAATGTGAAGCCTGCTGTAAGTGGTGGTGGGTCACTGTCATGGGTGTACTGTAGGTGGTGGTGGGTCACTGTCATGGGTGTACTGTAGGTGGTGGTGGGTCACTGTCATGGGTGTACTGTAGGTGGTGGTGGGTCACTGTCATGGGTGTACTGTAGGTGGTGGTGGGTCACTGTCATGGGTGTACTGTAGGTGGTGGTGGGTCACTGTCATGGGTGTACTGTAGGTGGTGGTGGGTCACTGTCATGGGTGTACTGTAGGTGGTGGTGGGTCACTGTCATGGGTGTACTGTAGGTGGTGGTGGGTCACTGTCATGGGTGTACTGTAGGTGGTGGTGGTGGTGGGTCACTGTCATGGGTGTACTGTAGGTGGTGGTGGTGGGTCACTGTCATGGGTGTACTGTAGGTGGTGGTGGGTCACTGTCATGGGTGTACTGTAGGTGGTGGTGGGTCACTGTCATGGGTGTGCTGTAGGTGGTGGTGGTGGGTCACTGTCATGGGTGTACTGTAGGTGGTGGTGGGTCACTGTCATGGGTGTGCTGTAGGTGGTGGTGGTGGGTCACTGTCATGGGTGTACTGTAGGTGGTGGTGAGTATCAATGTACTTACTCCCAACCATTCCTTTCCCTCGTCCCACCCCCACATCCAGACCCTTTTCAAGTACTATATAGTCGCAATGTTTAGGCGCTTTTGCCTGATAATTCTGATAATTCCTGATAAATTTTACCCTCAGACCCATTTTTTAAAATATATTTTGCATATTATTTTGAGACTGAATCCTGTACGTACTGCAAATAAGTGCTTCTGCGCCACGTGTGGTCAAAGCCACCTCTGACACACACAACAATGAAATATATTTTATCACATTCAAACTCAAATACACACCCACTCTCACGCACGTGCTCGAACACACACACGCCTGCACTCGCACACACTCATATTCATAACCCGCGCACACACACTCACACGTACACGTAAGGGGTTTAGTGTAGGGGGTCTGGTAGCTGAGTGGACAGCGCGCAGGACTCTCCATAGATTGATTGACAGTTGAGAGGAGGCCCGAAAGAGCAGAGCTCAACCCCAGCAAGAACAACTAAGTGTATACATACACACACACACACACACACACACACACACACACACACACACAGACACACACACACACACACACACAGACACACACACACACACACACACACACACACACACACACACACACACACACACACACACACACACACACACACGTATTGTTATGTATTCAATGGAAATTAAAATATATGAATGTTGAATTTCTGCACTTTCAATAATATATTCAAAATGGGTTAACAATATTTTGGTAAAATACCAACTCCGACTTTTAGTATTTGAGTGTTTGGTTAATGTTCGGTAAATTATGTGTAAATGTTTGAGGCTTTAAATCTGTTTGTGCAAATAGTTTCATTCTGGAACTATTGACTCTCCATAACTTTGATCGAAGTGATAATTACATGTTGTGAGTTTGGGTGTTTGTGTGTCAGTGTGTGCGTCTGTAAGTGAGTGCGTTTGTGTGTAAGTGTCAGCATGTATGTAAGTATGGGCATGAGTGTGAGTGTAACCGGGCGTATAAGTGAGGGCGTTTATGTGTACTCACCTAATTGTACTCACCTAGTTGTGCTTGCGGGTGTTGAGCTCTGGCTCTTTGGTCCCGCCTCTCAACTGTCAATCAACAGGTGTACAGGTTCCTGAGCCTATTGGGCTCTATCATATCTACACTTGAAACTGTGTATGGAGTCAGCCTCCACCACATCACTGCCTAATGCATTCCATTTGTCAACCACTCTGACACTAAAAAAAGTTCTTTCTAATATCTCTGTGGCTCATTTGGGCACTCAGTTTCCACCTGTGTCCCCTTGTGCGTGTGCCCCTTGTGTTAAACAGCCTGTCTTTATCAACCCTGTCAATTCCCTTGAGGATCTTGAATGTGGTGATCATGTCCCCCCTAACTCTTCTGTCTTCCAGTGAAGTGAGGTTTAATTCCCGTAGTCTCTCCTCGTAGCTCATACCTCTCAGCTCGGGTACTAGTCTGGTGGCATACCTTTGAACCTTTTCCAGTTTGGTCTTATCCCTGACTAGATATGGACTCCATGCTGGAGCTGCAAACTCCAGGATTGGCCTGACATATGTGGTATATGCCGTTCTTATCTTGGCCAGCCTGGCAGATGCCGCTGATGTTATCCGCTTGATATGTGCTGCAGGAGACAGGTCTGGCGTGATGTCAACACCCCAATTCTTTTTCTTTCTCTGACTCTTGAAGAATTTCATCTCCCAGATGATACCTAATATCTGGCCTCCTGCTCCCTACGAATATCTTCATTACATTACATTTGGTTGGGTTAAACTCTAACAACCATTTGTTCGACCATTCCTTCAGCTTGTCTAGGTCTTTGTGAAGCCTCAAACAATCCTTCTCTGTCTTAATCCTTCTCATAATTTTGGCATCGTCAGCAAACATTGAGAGAAATGAATCTATACCCTCCAGGAGATCATTTACATATATCAGAAACAAGATAGGACCGAGTACAGAGCCCTGTGGGACTCCACTGGTGACTTCACGCCAATCTGAGGTATCACCCCTCACCGTAACTCTCTGCTTCCTATTGCTTAGGTACTCCCTTATCCACTGGAACACCTTACCAGCTACACCTGCCTGTCTCTCCAGCTTATGTACCAGCCTCTTATGCGGTACTGTGTCAAAGGCTTTCCGACAATCAAAGAAAATGCAGTCCGCCCAGCCTTCTCTTTCTTGCTTACTTTTTGTCATCTGGTCGTAGAATTCTATTAATTTAAGCCAGTCAAGCAAGATTTACCCTCCCTGAACCCATGTTGGCGATTTGTCACGAAGTCCCTTCTCTCCAGATGTGTTACTAGGTTTCTTCTCACAATCTTCTTCATCACCTTGCATGGTATACAAGTCAAGGACACTGACCTGTAGTTTAATGCCTCTTGCCTGTCGCCCTTTTTGTATATTGGGACCACATTCGCCGTCTTCCATATTTCTGGTAGGTCCCCCGTCTCCAGTGACCTACTATACACTATGGAGAGTGGCAAGCAAAGTGCCTCTGCACACTCTTTCAGTACCCATGGTGAGATCCCGTCTGGACCAACAGCCTTTCTAACATCCAGATCCAGCAGGTGTCTCTTGACCTCCTCACTCGTAATTTCGAACCCTTCTAAGGCCGCCTTGTTTACTTCCCTGTCTCCTAGCACAGTGATATCACCTTGTTTTATTGTGAAGACCTCCTAGAACCTCTTGTTGAGTTCTTCACACACCTTTTTGTCATTCTCTGAATACCTGTCCTTGCCTGTTCTAAGTTTCATTACCTGTTCTTTCACTGTTGTTTTCCTCCTGATGTGACTATGGCGCAGCTTTGGTTCGGTCTTGGCTTTGCTTGCTATATCATTTTCATAATTTTTCTCTGCTTCTCTTCTCACCCTGACGTACTCATTCCTGGTTCTCTGGTATCTCTCTCTGCTTTCTGGTGTTCTGTTATTCCGGAAGTTCCTCCACGCCCTTTTGTTCAGTCCCTTTGCTTTATACCATGGATAATACACACACACACGTGTGTGTGTGTGTGTGTGTGTGTGTGTGTGTGTGTGTGTGTGTGTGTGTGTGTGTGTGTGTGTGTGTGTGTGTGTGTGTGTGTGTGTGTGTGTGTGTGTGTGTGTGCGTGCTTGCGTGCGTGCGTTTGTGTGTGTGTGTGTGTGTGTGGTGTGTGTGTGTGTGTGTGTGTGTGTGTGTGTGTGTGTGTGTGTGTGTGTGTGTGTGTGTGTGCGCGCGTGCGTGCGTGCGTGCGTGTGTGTGAGTGTGTGTGGGGGGGGGGGGCTGTTGGTAAACTGTCAGCCACAGTGATCGTCCAGTAACGATGTAACAACGTAACTTGTTACCAGGTAAGTAACCAACGACACTTTTAGAGAGCCACAATAACTGAGAGTGTATACCCACTGGTATACACTCTCACTTAGTGTATATACCTGAGAGTGGGAGAGTGTATACCCACTGGTGACACCACATGCTCTCGTTGACACCACAACCACCACCACCAGCACCACCACCACCACCACCACCACCACCACCACCACCAGTAGCACCACCAGCACCACCACCACCAGCACCACCACCACCACCACCACCACCACCACCTCCACCACCATCACCACCACCACGACAGAGAGGGTGTTACAGACCCAGGAGAGTGACACACACCACCAACCACTCACACCATGATGGAAGGTGTCCCTCGCTCCTCCCAGGGATGACCAAAAGTTAGAATAGTACTGACCATCACCTTGACGTAGGTGAAGAAGGGCCAGCACTACACCCAGACATAGAGACAATCTTTACAAGAGAACTGGACACTTGAGCAATATGTCACTGGTCCAGCAAGAGCAATATTACTATAAAATAGACCAATGTAGAGATATAGATCAAACAGCGTTGCCAGACACCCACAAGCGTGTATTAAGCACACGCTGTAATGGATACAATGGCCACGTGTTGAAATAGACCAACCGGTCAAGACCGGCTTTTTAGCCGCCACCATCATGGGTTATGGGAACTTTGCGCCTCTCAACTAGGTAAAGAACATATAAACCGGGATGAATAGTATAGCGATATACGGTGTGGTTGTACACGGTGTGGTTGTACACGGTGTGGTTGTACACGGTGTGGGTGTACACGGTGTGGGTGTACACGGTGTGGTTGTACACGGTGTGGTTGTACACGGTGTGGGTGTACACGGTGTGGTTGTACACGGTGTGGTTGTACACGGTGTGGTTGTACACGGTGTGGTTGTACACGGTGTGGTTGTACACGGTGTGGTTGTACACGGTGTGGTTGTACACGGTGTGGTTGTACACGGTGTGGTTGTACACGGTGTGGGTGTACACGGTGTGGTTGTACACGGTGTGGTTGTACACGGTGTGGTTGTACACGGTGTGGTTGTACACGGTGTGGGTGTACACGGTGTGGTTGTACACGGTGTGGTTGTACACGGTGTGGTTGTACACGGTGTGGTTGTACACGGTGTGGTTGTACACGGTGTGGTTGTACAAGGTGTGGTTGTACACGGTGTGGGTGTACACGGTGTGGTTGTACACGGTGTGGTTGTACACGGTGTGGTTGTACAAGGTGTGGTTGTACACGGTGTGGGTGTACACGGTGTGGTTGTACAAGGTGTGGTTGTACACGGTGTGGTTGTACACGGTGTGGTTGTACACGGTGTGGTTGTACACGGTGTGGTTGTACACGGTGTGGGTGTACACGGTGTGGTTGTACAAGGTGTGGTTGTACACGGTGTGGGTGTACACGGTGTGGTTGTACAAGGTGTGGTTGTACACGGTGTGGTTGTACACGGTGTGGTTGTACACGGTGTGGTTGTACACGGTGTGGTTGTACACGGTGTGGGTGTACACGGTGTGGTTGTACAAGGTGTGGTTGTACAGGGTGTGGTTGTACACGGTGTGGTTGTACACGGTGTGGTTGTACACGGTGTGGGTGTACAGGGTGTGGTTGTACACGGTATGGTTGTACATGGTATGGTTGTACAGGGTGTGGTTGTACACGATGTGGGTGTACACGGTGTGGGTGTACACGGTGTGGTTGTACACGGTGTGGTTGTACACGGCGTGGTTGTACAAGGTGTGGTTGTACACGGTGTGGTTGTACACGGTGTGGGTGTACACGGTGTGGGTGTACAGGGTGTGGGTGTACACGGTGTGGTTGTACACGGTGTGGGTGTACACGGTGTGGTTGTACAAGGTGTGGTTGTACACGGTGTGGGTGTACACGGTGTGGTTGTACACGGTGTGGGTGTACACGGTGTGGTTGTACAAGGTGTGGTTATACACGGTGTGGGTGTACACGGTGTGGTTGTACACGGTGTGGTTGTACACGGTGTGGGTGTACAGGGTGTGGTTGTACACGGTATGGTTGTACACGGTGTGGTTGTACACGGTGTGGGTGTACAGGGTGTGGTTGTACACGGTGTGGTTGTACACGGTGTGGGTGTTCACGGTGTGGTTGAACACAGTGTGGTTGTACACGGTGTGGTTATACTCCCACGGGACAATATAACGAGCCACACTACGGAGAGACACGAGTCAGATCACCAGTATACCAAGCACCATTCACACGGTATTACCTTTACCTACACATTAGCTTCATCTTAGAACTAAACATTTTGTTCGTAAGTGAATGTAAAGGAGAAGTAGAAAACACTCACAATATGTCTCAAACAGTGTAGCCAGATGTACTACAGCTGTTCCTCAGAATAAATAAATATTAACTAAGGAAAGAATATTCAATACAAAAGCGTCAGAAATAAAATATTATTACCCAACACGAATACAAAAATATATATATATTGCTGGACCTTGAACAAGATACGCTTAAGGCATTTCACTCAACACCCAAGTTCAGGATTTTGTACAGAGAGAGACAACAGATACACATATGAACAGGAGAGGTGAAGTGGTGTTAAGCAGATGAAGAGGTGAACAGTGAACAATGAGCACAAACAGACGTCAGGAGAGAACAAACAACTATGCAAGCAGTCAGGTGTGCAGACAATCAGGCGAGATCAAATAGGACACTGTAGCTTAGATTATATCAATATAACATACTTGTAAACATCTATACTCATTTTGACATTACAAAATACTTGTATGTAGCTTCAAGAATGCTGTATTAAAATATAGTGGTATGGTTCGTAGCATATTTCTTGGGGTGTTTGACATTATATTTGCTGGTGGTTTCAGAGTATATTATCTTGTTGTGGTTGATAGTATATACTATCAACTATGTGTGATATACTATCAACTATGTATATACTCTGTGTGGTGGACATCGGCGTCTGGTGTGTTGGGGTAGATACCATATTCCTAGGTGTGGTGGATAGTATATCTCGTGTGTGGCGGACAGTATATCTCCTGTTGTGGTTGATAGTATATTCTCGAGTGTAGTTGATAGTATATTACTTGGAATGGTTGATATAATATTTCCTGATAAAGTGGATAGTATATTCCCTGTTGAGATGGATAGTATACTCCCTGGTGTAGTAGATAGTGTATTCCCTAGTGTGGCAGATTGTATTTTTCCTGGTGTGCTTGACTGTATATGTTTTAGTTTGGTGGATAGCATATTTCCTGTTTAAACTGACAGTATAATGCCTGTTGTGTTGGATAGTATATTCCCAGGGGTGGTGGATAGTATATATCCTAGTGAGGTGGATATTATATACCCTGGTGTGGTTAACAGCATACACCCTGGCGCAGGATAACTTTTGTTGTCTGGTTCAGTTATATATAAACCAATATTAAAACATTTTAAAAGCAGAAGCATTTTTATCTAAGTTGCAAGGAAGAAAATGTTTCACATTCTTCATTAGTCACTTGTGAGTGTGGCGATAATGAGACGAATGTCACATCAATATGTACAGATTTTAGGCTTAGGTGAGTGTTCTGTTGAGTTGATCGATGTCCCTCGCAGGGTGGGTGGGTTGCGGTTCTCACCAGGGGTTATCTTGAGGTTATCTTGAGATGATTTCGGAGCTTAGCGTCCCCGCAGCCCGGTCCTCGAGCAGGGAGCCAGACTCACGAAGCAGTTACGCAAAGACTTACGAACCTATACATCTTTTCTCAATCTTTGGCGGCTTTGTTTACAATTGTTTAACAGTTAATGAGCTCCGAAGCACCAGGAGGCTGTTTATAACAATAACAACAGTTGGTTGGGAAGTTTTCATGCTTGTTAACTGTTTAATAAATGTAACCAAAGCCGTTAAAGATTGAGGAAAGATATACACGTTCGTTAGTACTTGCTTAACTGCTTCGTGAATCGAGGCCCAGGCCTCCTTTTTGTTACACACCCCCAGGAAGCAGCCCGTAGCAGCTGTCTAACTCTCAGGTACCTATTTACTGCTAGGTAACATGGGGCATCAGGGTGAAAAGACTGCCCATTTGTTTCCGCCTCCACCGGGGATCGAACCCGGAACCTCAGGACTACGAATCCGAAGCGCTGTCCACTCAGCTGTCATGCCCCATCTTAACTTAGGGGAGCTTGAATCACTGTAGACGGGACCTGCTCTCACACCGTCACTGTAGACGTGACCTGCTCTCCCACCGTCACTGTAGACGGGACCTGCTCTCACACCGTCACTGTAGACGTGACCTGCTCTCACACCGTCACTGTAGACGGGACCTGCTCTCTCACCGTCACTGTAGACGGGACGTGCTCTTCCACCGTCACTGTAGACGGGACGTGCTCTTCCACCGTCACTGTAGACGGGACGTGCTCTCACACCGTCACTGTAGACGGGACGTGCTCTTCCACTGTCACTGTAGACGGGACGTGCTCTCACACCGTCACTGTAGACGGGACGTGCTCTCACACCGTCACTGTAGACGGGACGTGCTCTTCCACCGTCACTGTAGACAGGACGTGCTCTCACACCGTCACTGTAGACGGGACGTGCTCTCACACCGTCACTGTAGACGGGACGTGCTCTCACACCGTCACTGTAGACGGGACGTGCTCTTCCACCGTCACTGTAGACGGGACGTGCTCTTCCACCGTCACTGTAGACGGGACGTGCTCTCACACCGTCACTGTAGACGGGACGTGCTCTCACACCGTCACTGTAGACGGGACGTGCTCTTCCACCGTCACTGTAGACGGGACGTGCTCTCACACCGTCACTGTATGATGACATAATAGAAAGAGAAGTTGGCGTTAGCTGTACTCCTCTCATTGGCTTGAGGTTTCAAGGCAAAACAGTCCCGTGAATCACTGCACAAGCAGCTGGGAGCCTTTATTCACTGCACACGTTGCAGGGATCACCCTGACTCACTGTGAACGCTACAGGGAGCCCCTGACTCACTGTGAACGCTACAGGGAGCCCCTGACTCACTGTGAACGCTACAGGGAGCCCCTGTCTCAGTGCCTTGCTGTTGGCACCACCACATCTAAACCTAAGTCAGAACATTTTTTACTGACTACACAATACAACCAGCGGGAAGGTCCACCTGCCAAGCGACACAACCGCCAGATTACACTTATCTACGTCAAGATGCTCACAAGGTGACGGGTCATGCGCCTTCAAGGAGCACCTTGAGGTGTAAGGAATAGCCTCCTCACACTGCTATCATAGTAGTGTCTCTGATACCCTTCTCCTGGCTCTCTGGAGACTCGGAGGAGAAGTCAGTGTGGCAAGAGGAGACACCCCTCAGCGTCTTCTACAACACGTGGAGATTCTCGCAAGACTTGGACTTGCTGTCGATGATGCACATCTTGTTTAGTAGTTCCTTAGCGGCGTGGAGACTCAGAGACGTCTTCGAGGCGGACATCTTCTTAAGGCGCTTCCTGTGGGCGGCCAGACGCAGGCGTACCTGAGGAAGGCACACACCTTAAGAGCCAGCACTTTTAACAGCGTCCTAAACTCCGTTTTTTTATGATGAACATTTTATTATCTCTCAATTTGACTACAATAATTTGTATTTACTGCTAACAGATAAATCAATAAAACATATATGTATATCTTTTCTGACATGTTACAATGAAGAACATCTTCCACATAGAAATATTCAAGACATTTTTCAACGCGAGAGAGAGAGAGAGAGAGAGAGAGAGAGAGAGAGAGAGAGAGAGAGAGAGAGAGAGAGAGAGAGAGAGAGAGAGAGAGAGAGAGAGAGAGAGAGAGAGAGAGAGAGAGAGAGAGAGAGAGAGAGAGAGAGAGAGAGAGAGAGAGAGAGAGAGAGAGAGAGAGAGAGAGAGAGAGAGAGAGAGAGAGAGAGAGAGAGAGAGAGAGAGAGAGAGAGAGAGAGAGAGAGAGAGAGAGAGAGAGAGAGAGAGAGAGAGAGAGAGAGAGAGAATGGGACAAAGAGACAAAGAGAGAGAGACAGATACCGAGACAAACACACACACACACACCGTACCAATGCCTCACCTGCTTGACGATCCCCACAAGGAGCTCATCAACATTGTGTTGTATCCCACTCGACGTCTCAATAAACTTGCTCTCGTGGCTCCTGGCCAGAGACTTCCCCTCTGAGGGGACAGTGAAGCACACACGTGTCAGCATGAGAACATAAAGTATACCAGCAGGAAGATACAACACATTAGCAGGAGAGAAACTTGAGGGGGACCTCTCACCCACGTTAGTGGCTGAGAGACTAAATCAGGTGAGATAAACTAAGGGAAAAATGCCCCTAAGGTGCAAAAAATATGGGAATGAAGGTATTTGTTATGCCCTTAGCCCTGGTGCAGGTGTTAGGGAGGGTCAGACTAGTAAACCTTCAGTAGGACACTGAAGGTTTACTTTGGTGCTGTGGTTAAGGCCACCAGCTGTACCAAGCTTACTGAGGCCCTCATACTTGCTGACTGATCAGGTATACTATACCTCTCAATATACACCAAAATTAAAGTAAACTCTTACATATATATACCGATAAATGGTATAAATCTCTCAGGTGTATATATATCCCTGTAGCGCAGGAAGAAACCTTTCAACTTTTAACTTGGCATTTTGGTCATATTTCATATTTTTAGTCTGAAATTGCTTTAAGAAATATTATTTATATCCAGCCCATCCTCCTGCTTTGGTAGTCCTTATAGTAACGATGAAGACCATAGCATATATACCGACGTACGACGAAATTAGAAAGTATAAATCGGTACTATTGAGTTGGACAAACCGGAAAACTATTTTCTACTTACGGTGCAAAGACAAACTAACCTAACCTAACCTAACCTAACCTAACCTAACCTAACCTAACCTAACCTTCCTAGGCCTAATACATGAGATCTGAGGCCTAATGTAATAAATACATATGTACTATACTAGACCAAGGAGTATTTAAGTTTGTTTTTAAGCTTCATTTATTCCGACCCTATAAAGTCAATAGTATAAAGTTCTATTATCTAATTTCTTAGTACGTCAATCTTTGTACTATGCTGCACATAGTTACAAAAACTACTATCTAAACACGAGGACGGATTTTTATGTAACATCAAAGGAATATTATTATTACTATTGGTAATATATTTTGTACGATAATTTTATCTCATTATTTTCATGAAAATTTGAAAAAAATTGATTTGCACTGTCCCAGAACACTGTCCGGGGACACTGTCCCAAGACACCGTCCCAGGACACTGTCCCAGGACACCGTCCCAGGACAGTGTCCCCGGACACTACCCCGGGTCACGACAGTGCCCCGTCTCCTCCCCAACACACAGACAACACCCCCTACTACATCCCCGACACATCACCTCACCGCTGGTGTTGACAATGCGTGCCCTGGCGAGGTCGACCTTGTTGCCGACGAGGATGACCGCCTTGTCCTTGGTGTAGTTCTCCCTCCAGAGGTAAGTGAGGGTGTCCTCCGCCTTCTTGAAGGAGCCCTTGTCTGTGATGGAGTACACCACCACGCAGGCGTGAGGCTCGTACGTCGACAAGCTGTTCTCCACCTGCGGGAAGGACGGAGTGATGGTGACGGAGTGATGGTGAGGGAGGGTGGGATTGATGGTGAAGGTGAGGGAAGGTAGGGATATCCCGTGGTGGTGAAGGGAAGGAGGGAGGAGGAGGGGGAAGAGGATGAGGAGGATGAGGAGGTAGAGGAGGACATAAGTGATGGTGACGTTGATGGTGATTGATGACAGCGATTTGAGTGAATTGATGACCATGGCGGGGGGACGTCTATTGGAAGGTGAGGAGTTGAGGGGTTGACGGTAGGACAGGTGAGTGACGGGAGGCGACAGGTGCGGTAATTACCAGTTACCTGTCACTCCCCCCCCCCCACCCCGCTGCCCTCATGAATGGGAGGGGGGGGGGAAGGGGGTCTGGGGGTAGGGGCGTTGGTCAGGGGGTAGGGGGCGGGGGTCAAGGGTAGGGGCAGGGGGGGTAGGGGTGGTGGCCAAAGGGTGGGGTAGGGGTCAGGGGTCAGGGACGTGAGAGGAGAGTGGCGTGTGCCACTTAGTGACGGCACCTGGGAGGGGAGTGACCAGGGGGGGGCGGGGTGCCAGGACGTGGATAATGAGGAAGGACAGTGGCACTGTCTAATATGACAGGAGAATGAGGGAGAGCTTGACGGTCACATTTGTGAGGTGGTGAGGTGGGCGGGGTGTGAGGTGAGGCGCCCCGTGACGGGTCGCCATTAACAACTATCACCACCATCACCACTACCACCACCACCACCACCACCATCACCACCACCAGCAACACACCCCCCCACCACCACCACCACCACCACCCCCACCCCCACCACCACCACCACCACCACCACCACCACCACCCCCCACCACCACCACCACCAAGCAGACATTTCCCCAAACTAATTCCCTGCCCCGTGATCAAAATATTAACACCAACATATTATAGGGAAATACTCACCAACATAAATAATTATCCCAGCGCAAGCTTGCAAATTGGAATTTGGGAACTCCCGTCGATACATTGCCTGCACGTTAAACGACCAATGAGAAATCAGGATTATTCGTTTTGCGATGGAAAATAGATATGATTGGTTACCGGTGTTAAACGAGATTTACGAGGGACATTCCCTGCATGCGTGGCGTCCAGGAACAACAAAACAGAACTGGAGGGAAACAAACGGGAAGACAAACATACAAACAGAGGGGAATGTATCGCTGAGCTATGCCAGCTCCCTCGGGAAGGATCACAAGGACAACAACAGTTAAACAAAGACAAAATGAGACACAGACACACAGACACACAGACACAGACACACAGACACACAGACACACAGATACAGACACACAGAGACAGACACACAGACATAGACACACAGACACAGACACACAGAGACAGACACACAGACACAGACACACAGACACAAAAAGAGAAACATAAATAGATACTTACAGATAAATACGATAGACATGACTCACAGACACAGGAAGCGAAATAGACATAGAGATTCACAGACACAGAAAAAAAACAGACAAACACTCACAAACACATTATGAGAAACATAGACTCACAGATATAATAAGAGAAGCAAGCAAGACTCACAGACATAATAAGAGAAACAAACATAGACTCACAGACATAATAAGAGAAACAAAGAAACAAGGACACAGACCGCCAGGGTGACGGACGCACACTGAAAACGACAGAAGGAAACGCCTAAAAGCTTCCATAAAAGAGTACATTAAAAAAAGCCTGTAAGAGAGAGAGAGAAGACTTACGGACATCTCGTGCGCAGGGTGGTCAATGAAGGTGACCTCGCTCTCCTCTCCGTCAAGTAGCACTGATACACTCTTCTCCCCGAACTCCTCATCTGAGGGCGTAAGACAGACAAGCGTTAAACGCACTCCGTATTGTATGCTGCACAAGATACGTCCACTCTCCATGGTGAACCAGTCAAAATGTCTCGTACTCACGGGAGAGTACATGTTTATAAGCATCCGTGCGTGTGTGTGCGTGTGTGTGTGTGTGTGTGTGTGTGTGTGTGTGTGTGTGTGTGTGTGTGTGTGTGTGTGTGTGTGTGTGTATGTGTGTGTGTGTGTGTGTGTGTGTGTGTCAATCTCAGTTTCTCTCTCTCTCTCCTGATAAGCCAAGTGAATGAGGAGCTAACTAGACAAAAAATACAGACGCTTTCATTCAGATGATAATTTTACGAACTTCCAGCACCTAATTAATTTAATAAGGGGATCTTGAAAGCTGACATGACTTCGTGAACATGTTGGGAGATGTCCCAACTGAATCAGATACGACCCCATTTTAGTAAACTGGGACCTGTCCCAGTTACACAAGAGGAGATGTCACCAGACACTACAAAGGCATGACGTGTCCCACCTACAAAATCCTCCAGTGATTTTGGCCTCGCATATGATTGGGATTTTCATTCCCGCTATGACTAGACCCGATGACAGGCGGGAGGTGACGCTACGTCTGGTGTTAGGCTCTGCCCTGAGTTATTGATACTTAAGACCTGATACCACTGACCTGCTGTGCTAAGATGTACTGATCTGACCTCTGATCCCAGTCACGGTAACTGATAGCTTACCTCACCACCATCACTATCATTACTATCACCACCACCAACATCTATGCCACCACTATCATCACTACCACCATTTTTGCCTCTATCATCATCATCACCACCACTATTACCACCATCAATATAACCACCATTTCTGTCATATTATCATCATCACCATCACCATCATGATCACCACCATTTCTACCATTATCATCATCACCACCATCACCATCACCCACTACCCTCACAAACACCACCACAATCATTTCCAAGCATTCAGAGATATTATTCTAGTTTGTTGTTTGATACCTCCGGCTCCAGCCACGTCGGAATAACAGGGAATAGAGGTCATCATGGGACACGAGTTTTGGTCGTCCCGGGTCATGATCCCAGACCATTCTGGGACACGCTGGGATCAAGGTCATCGCGAGACGCAAGTCCAGATCATGACAGGAAGTCCAATTCATCTTTAGTCACTGATTTGTTCCTGACAAGATCTTTTCCAGTATTATTATATATAACGTAGTTCATCATGCTATATAGTAAAGCTGTTAGTAATGCTACTGCTGTCCTGTTTACTATGCCGTATAGGATACTTATTAGTAATGCTGATGTGGTCATTTTGGCGAGTTTACCTAATTCAAATACCTCCGTAGCGCATTCGACTTACATCCGAATCTACTTTGGTTTGATTCCCATTCAGGACGAGATGTTGGAGTGAAGTTTCCTTACACCTGATGTCACTGTTCACCAAGCAGTAAATCGATAGCTGTAAGTTAGGTAACTGTTGAAGGTTGTAGGTTTTGTCAAGCTGCTGCAGCTAATCATTACAACTTACAGCATTATATTTGTAAATCACTGAATTATCATGTTTATCATTGTTATTATTGTTATCATGATTATTATTATTATTATTTGTATTATTATATCGCGTAAATTATAGTTATTACACTTTGTCCTCAGGAATTAATCATTAATATAAAAATGTCACTATATTATAATTAATTTATATAAAAATATGGATTTGGAGCTATGTTAGTAAAATGTGGCAGGGCAGGTCCGTAGACTTTACCAGATGCCGAATTTTTGTGTCTGGATATTCCCACTCTACCTGACGAAGCAGTCATTTGTTATGCCGATAATATATGCATTGTTGCAAATTCCCAAACTAGACTGCAAGCTCTACTGGATTCATTCGCTGCTAAAAGCATTGAATGTGGTCGTGTTTTCTGTATAACTAAATCCAGAGTTCTCCATCCCAAAGAGAAAACTCATGTCCCTATAACTTTCTAGGTCAACAACCAGAACATTGAAACGTGTAGGCCGCACAGATACCTTGGAGTTGGTATTAACAGTGACATTGTAAATGATCTACACCATAGGTTAAAACAAAGACTAAAACCATTGAGAACACTTACTGGTAAGAATATTGGTATCAATATTAAATATGCTAGATTATTATATATGATGTTTGTTAGATCTCTCGTTGATTATAATGCTCTGCACTTAATTAACTTCCCCTGCCTCTGTGTTGAACAAACTGGAAGTAGTACAGAATGAAGCCATGAGGATAATTCTTGGTGCCCCAAGATGCACAAGAATCATCAACATGAGGGAAGAACTGAAGCTTCCAACCTTACTAAAGAGAATCATGCAAGTCAACACTACCTTTTGCCTTAAAGTCATGAGAGACCCAACATCTGCCGCATTGCTCAGAGACAAATTGCCGACATACCAACTCACTCTTTTTATGATAATTGGCTGAGCAACAATGCCTACAATCTCATTAAACTTAACATTCCTTTTAAGTGCAATCTACCTGTCTCTGATATTCCTCTTTATCTGTTCCCCAACATTCAAGTATCATACACACCTGTCACAAAGAAAGATAATGAGAATCATGCTCTTCTCAAAGCTGTCACACTTGAAACAATTGCCTCCTCCATCGAGAATATAAGATCTCACGAGCACTGTGTCTGCACCGACGGCTCAGTCCAATCTTCTACTGGACGGCCTGCAGCAGCATGTAGGTTTTATAGAAATTATATTTGCACAAAGACTGTCAGTGTCAGGTTAAACAACTGGCTGACCTCCACACAAGCAGAACTAGCAGCATTACACCTAGCTACCAGTACATTAAAAAACATTGGAGGAGGAATAATATTTTGTGATTCAAAGTCTGCTCTTCAAGCAACCAAAAACTTCTCCTGGAAGATCGACAGCAAGAACCTCATACTACCAATTATAAATGACCTAATTGCTGCACAGAGTAAAGGGTCTCGAATCTCCTTTGTATGGATACCTTCACACATAAATATAACCCATCATAATGAGACAGACATTGCAGTCAAATTAGCGTGTAACAAGGATGAAGTTGAATTAGATCTAGGTATCCCCATCTCTGCTGTCAAAACTGTATTGGTCCAAACACTCAGGTCTGATAGGAAAGAAATTACTGACTCCCAACGACCTGAAAGTATTAGTATAAAAAGCTATGATTTGTTCAGATCTGAAATCTACATCTATGGGCAGCACAAAACGTCCACCAGACTGTGCGACACAGTGGTTGCCAGGATCAGGTTGGGTTACCGTTACCTGTGGCAGGTGGCTCCAGGTGTCGGATCTCCCAATCCTGAGCACTCCAGCGCACATTATGAGACCGCTAGAGTGCTCAGCGGTCTGTGAGCTCTCTGTGAGCAGGAACTGCGGCACGATCTCCCACACTACATCACCGAATGCCCAGTTATTAGACCTTTCAGACCAGTTGGCATGAGGTACCTGGAGCTTTGCAATTACTTTATTCATTCTCGTATTCTTGAATATATCCTCACAGTGTACCCAAAATTTGCCAGTGCAGGCTACTAAACATATGGCCTTGTATGACTAACCATCCTGCGAGATGGGGACTTTTATTATCACTGTTACCTTATTCAAACTTCTGTTGATGATATCCTCAAAATGCTTCCGGAGTCTGCCAGTGCAGACTGCCTATCACATGCCTCTGTATGACTAACCATCCTGTGTGATGGGGATTTTTTAGCATCACCTAGTTAGCTTTTTTGACACACTGTACTCCACTTCATATAGTCTAGGGCAGCTACACTAATGCAGATGTACCTCATGTATTAATAAAAAAAAAGTGTCTGGACGTATCACTCACGATAAAACTGTTACTTTTCATATAGTCTAGATTAGCATCATGCAAAATATGAAGTAATTGTAAAAAGCAGCAGGTACATACCATACATATCAACAATGTTAAGCACTGATGTTTATTGTTTTGTAAGGTTTTGTTAAAGTCTCCATTAAGTATTCCAATGTAAATTTAGACACGATGAGAATTGGGTAATGTAGCATTTTTAAATCACCACCACAAAGCAAGAGGTGCTTGGAAATAATTGGAGGCAATTTAAAGGTAATTCCAATTTAGGTATTACGTGTGAGATTACGTGTGTGGGTGTAATTACCGTAGTAATTTGAGTGCGTAGTTGCAAGATGAGAGCTCCGCTCGTGGTGTCCCGTCTTCCCAACATTTTTTGTCATATAACGCTTTGAAATTACTGACGGTTATAGCCTCCTCCACCTTCTCACTTAGCTTGTTCCAGCCATCTTAATATACCACTGTTTGAGAAGGTGAATTTTATAATATTTGTTGAGCAGTTTTGTTTAGTTACTTTAAATCTACTATCTTTTATTCTAGAATTTCCAGGTCTCAGGTATTTTTCTTTAACGATGTTGTCGATTCCCGTTGGTATTTTATACGTAGTGATCATATCGCTTCTTTGTCTTCTATCCTCAAACCTTGGTATATTTAAGGCCTCAAACCTTTCCTCGTAGCTCTTGACTTTATGTTCCAGCATCCATTTAGATTAATGTCTTTTGGACTTTTTCAAATTTGTTGACGTGCTTCTTAAGATATTGGCACCATACAACCGCTGCATGTTCTAGCTTTGGTCTCACCAAGGTCGTAAACGATTTCTTCAGTATTTCGCCATCCATTTTTTTAAATGCAATTTTGATATTAGAAAGCGTAGCATAGGCTCCTCGCACAATGTTCAATATGTGGTCCTCAGTTAACAGTTTTCTATCTTGCACCAACACAAGATCTCTTTTTTTGTCTGAATTCTTTTAAGCCTTTTCACATAATTTCTAGGGTGTGTGTGACACCTTCTCCTATTACACATTACATTGTGTATTTACTATTTGAATTTATGATCTGTGTCTGCAAAATCGAAATTTTAGCTTAGGACCCCGCCTTTCTAACCAATCTATTTCCTCTATTATCTTTACTGCATATATTTCACTAACACACACACACACTCCCTGGAAGCTGCCCTTAGTAGCTGTCTAACTCTCAGGTGCCTAATTACTGTTAGGTGAACAGATGCATGAAGGTGAAGGAAACTGTGCCAACTTGTTTCTGCCTCGGCTGGAAATCGAAACCTGGCTATTAGACCTACGACCCCCGAGCGCTGTCCACTCAGTCACGAGGCCTCTTCTCACTTGTACTCACATAGTCGTACTCACCTAGTTGTGCTTGCGGGGGTTGAGTTTTGGCTCTTTGGTCCCGCCTCTCAAATGTCAATCAACTGGTGTACAGATTCCTGAGCCTATTGGGCTCTATCATATGTTCATTTGAAACTGTGTATGGAGTCAGCCTCCACCACATCACTGCCTAATGCATTACACCTGTTAACTACTCTGACACTGAAAAAGTTCCTTCTAACGTCCCTGTGGCTCATGTGGGTACTCAGACGCCACGTGTGTACTCTTGTTCGCGTACCACCAGTGTTGAATAATCCATCTATGTCTACCCTGCCAATTCACCATTTGTGTGTGTGTGTGTGTGTGTGTGTGTGTGTGTGTGTGTGTGTGTGTGTGTGTGTGTGTGTGTGTGTGTGTGTGTGTGTGTGTGTGTGTGTGTGTGTGTGTGTGTGTGTGTGTGTGTGTGTGTGTGTGTGTGTGTGTGTCCTGGACTGACCTAGGGAGGCGTCGTAGGTGTTGATGTACTCAGAGGTCATGAACTGGTTGACGAGAGAAGACTTGCCCACGCCCGTCTCTCCCAGCAGCACCACCTGCGCCACCACCAACACCATCATCCACCATCGTCACCATCAGCCACCATCGTCACCATCAGCCACCATCGTCACCATCAGCCACCATCGTCACCATCAGCCACCATCGTCACCATCAGCCACCATCGTCACCATCAGCCACCATCGTCACCATCAGGCACCATCGTCACCATCAGCCACCATCGTCACCATCAGCATCACACACAAGAAAATTTAACATTTTAGGAGTGGGTCAGTGTTATCGTTCAGCAGTGTTTAATACAATTATATGTCGGCATTTACAATTAATGTAGAAATTTGTCATGTACTGTAGTACCTTCTACTGGTACTAGTACCACTGCTACTAGTACTACTATTTATCCAGCAACCACTACTTCAATTCAGACATAACTACCACTAAGGCTATCATTATAACTACAATAACTGTAAATATATAATTATTCCCCCCCCCTGGTTCCCTTCCCCACCTCCCCCCTCCCCACCTCTCTCCCCTCCTACGTCTTCTCCCCCCCCCCCGCCCCCCACAAAGCCTCAACGACTCACTCTGTACTTGGCGACCTCCAGCGACGCCTCAGACGACACGTAAGATGAGCCGCAACACGACCCCTCGAAGGGCGACCTCTCGCCGCTCCTGCCGCTGCGACTGGAGGGCCTGGGAGAGCGTGGGAGAGGTGTTGAGGAGCACGGCACAGATATAGAGAGTCTGTGGCGGTGTACCACAGTTACTGACCATCTGTGAGAGCGGGGCAGAGTTATTTCTAATCCAACTGAAAAGTTATGGAGGACCTGAAGAAGTTATGGAGGGCGTTGGGAAGTTATGGAGGGCGTGGTGAAGTTATGGAGGGCGGGGGGAAGTTATGGAGGGAACGGGGAAGTTATGGAGGGAACAGGGAAGTCATGGAGGGAACGGGGAAGTTATGGAGGGAACTAGGAAGTTATGGAGGGAACGGGGAAGTTATGGAGGGAGCGGGGAAGTTATGGAGGGAACTAGGAAGTTATGGAGGGAACTAGGAAGTTATGGAGGGAACGGGGAAGTTATGGAGGGAGCGGGGAAGTTATGGAGGGCGTATTTACTATTTGTGTCTGCAGAACCGATCTATTAGCTCTTGAACCCCGCCTTTCTAACCAATCTATTTTTCCTCTATTGTATCTACAACATACATTTCTAACACACGCGCACACACACACACACACACACACACACACACACACACACACACACACACATACACACACACACACACACACACACACACACACACACACACACACACACACACACACACACACACACACACACACACACACACACACACACACACACACACACACACACACACACACACACACACACACACACACATCCACAAGAAGCAGCCCGTAGCAGCTGTCTAACTCCCAGATACCTAATTACTGCTAGGTGAACAGGTGAACCAGGGAGAAACAAACTGCCTTCGCCGGGAATCGAACTAGGGTCATTAAAACTACGACCCCAAGACTCACTCCACTCAGCCGCGAGGTGTGGGGAAGTTATGGAGGCGGTGTGAAAGCTACCAGGGGCGCCTGGCAATGTTATGGCAGAGTGTGGGAAGGTTATGGAGACCACTTCTGAAGTGACGTGTGAGAACTATAGAGTGGTGGGTGTAGGTTGGGGACTGGAGGTAGGGGACTGTGGGAACTGGAGGGACTGGGGGAACTGGAGGGACTGGGAGGTAGGGGACTGGGGGAACTGGAGGGACTGGGAGGTAGGGGACTGGGGGAACTGGAGGGACTGGGAGGTAGGGGACTGTGGGAACTGGAGGGACTGGGGGAACTGGAGGGACTGGGAGGTAGGGGACTGGGGGAACTGGAGGGACTGGGAGGTAGGGGATTGGGGGAACTGGAGGGACTGGGAGGTAGGGGATTGGGGGAACTGGAGAGGCTGGGGGAACTGGAGGGATTGGGAGGTGGAGGGACTGGGGGAACTGGAGGGACTGGGAGGTAGGGGACTGGGGGAACTGGAGAGGCTGAGGGAACTGGAGGGACTGGGAGGTAGGGGACTGGGGGAACTGGAGAGGCTGAGGGAACTGGAGGGACTGGGAGGTAGGGGACTGGGGGAACTGGAGGGACTGGGAGGTAGGGGACTGGGGGAACTGGAGAGGCTGGGGAACTGGAGGGATTGGGAGGTAGGGGACTGGGGGAACTGGAGGGACTGGGAGGTAGGGGGACTGGGGGAACTGGAGAGGCTGAGGGAACTGGAGGGACTGGGAGGTAGGGGACTGGGGGAACTGGAGGAGGGGCTGAGGGAACTGGAGGGACTGGGAGGTAGGGGACTGGGGGAACTGGAGGGACTGGGAGGTAGGGGACTTGGGGGAACTGGAGGGACTGGGGGATAGGGGACTTGGGGGAACTGGAGGGACTGGGGGATAGGGGACTTGGGGGAACTGAGGGACTGGTAGGGGGACTGGGGAACTGGAGAGGCTGGGGAACTGGAGGGACTGAGAGGTAGGGGACTGGGGGAACTGGGGGGACTGAGACCACCACCTCCCACCACAACATTGTTCGCTACTATCAAAGGAACACACAAATTAAACACAAAATTTAAATCAACTAAGGAAAACAAATTTATTAAGAAAGATATTTTTTTAATAATGTTTTAAATACAAATTTTGATTTAAGTTATTGATTTAAACAAAAATGTTTGCATAGACAATTTAAATACAGAAATTTATATTATATCAAGGCTTAATTAGTAGTAATTTATATTATAGATCACATTTACCTGACATCCATGACAGAAATGTTGCTCTCAGAGGTGTTCTCGTCCACATGCAAGCTGGCAACTGACCTGCAAGACGGCAGAGCTACAGCTGGGGAGGTCAAGCTGGGTAGGTCAAGCTGGGGAGGTCAAGCTGGGTAGGTCAAGCTGGGGAGGTCAAGCTGGGGAGGTCAAGCTGGGTAGGTCAAGCTGGGTAGGTCAAGCTGGGTAGGTCAAGCTGGGGAGGTCAAGCTGGGTAGGTCAAGATGGGTAGGTCAAGCTGGGTAGGTCAAGCTGGGGAGGTCAAGCTGGGGAGGTCAAGCTGGGGAGGTCAAGCTGGGTAGGTCAAGCTGGGTAGGTCAAGCTGGGGAGGTCAAGCTGGGGAGGTCAAGCTGGGTAGGTCAAGCTGGGGAGGTCAAGCTGGGGAGGTCAAGCTGGGTAGGTCAAGCTGGGGAGGTCAAGCTGGGGAGGTCAAGCTGGGGAGGTCAAGCTTGGAACGGGGTCACTCGATCATGCTTCTACTGGAGGGAGGAGTGTTCGAGTGGGGAGGGAGTGTTGGAGATGGTGGTGGTGGGGAGGGAGTGTTGGAGATGGTGGTGGTGGGGAGGGAGTGTTGGAGATGGTGGTGGTGGAGAGGGAGTGTTGGAGATGGTGGTGGTGGTGGGGAGGGAGTGTTGGAGATGGTAGTGGTGGGGAGGGAGTGTTGGAGATGGTGGTGGTGGGGAGGGAGTGTTGGAGATGGTGGTGGTGGGGAGGGAGTGTTGGAGATGGTGGTGGTGGTGGTGGTGGTGGGGAGGGAGTGTTTTGAGATGGTGGTGGTGGGGAGGGAGTGTTGGAGATGGTGGTGGTGGGGAGGGAGTGTTGGAGATGGCAGTGGTGGGGAGGGAGTGTTGGAGATGGTGGTGGTGGTGGGGAGGGAGTGTTGGAGATGGTGGTGGTGGGGAGGGAGTGTTGGAGATGGTGGTGGTGGGGAGGGAGTGTTGGAGATGGTGGTGGTGGGGAGGGAGTGTTGGAGATGGTGGTGGTGGTGGGGAGGGAGTGTTGGAGATGGTGGTGGTGGGGAGGGAGTGTTGGAGATGGTGGTGGTGGGGAGGGAGTGTTGGAGATGGTAGTGGTGGGGAGGGAGTGTTGGAGATGGTGGTGGTGGTGGGGAGGGAGTGTTGGAGATGGTGGTGGTGGGAAGGGAGTGTTGGAGATGGTGGTGGTGGGAGGGAGTGTTGGAGATGGTGGTGGTGGAGAGGGAGTGTTGGAGATGGTAGTGGTGGGGAGGGAGTGTTGGAGATGGTGGTGGTGGGGAGGGAGTGTTGGAGATGGTGGTGGTGGGAGGGAGTGTTGGAGATGGTAGTGGTGGGGAGGGAGTGTTGGAGATGGTGGTGGTGGGGAGGGAGTGTTGGAGATGGTAGTGGTGGGGAGGGAGTGTTGGAGATGGTAGTGGTGGGGAGGGAGTGTTGGAGATGGTAGTGGTGGGGAGGGAGTGTTGGAGATGGTAGTGGTGGGGAGGGAGTGTTGGAGATGGTAGTGGTGGGGAGGGAGTGTTGGAGATGGTAGTGGTGGGGAGGGAGTGTTGGAGATGGTGAGGGGAGACGTATATGATAGTGAAGGGGTGACGTATAATACAGTGAAGGGGTGACGTATAATACAGTGAAGGGGTGAGGTATAATACAGTGAAGGGGTGAAGGGGTGAGGTATAATACAGTGAAGGGGTGAAGGGGGTGAGGTATAATACAGTGAAGGGGTGAAGGGGTGAGGTATAATACAGTGAAGGGGTGAAGGGGTGACGTATAATACAGTGAAGGGGTGAAGGGGGTGAGGTATAATACAGTGAAGGGGTGAAGGGGTGACGTATAATACAGTGAAGGGGTGACGTATAATACAGTGAAGGAGTGAGGTATAATACAGTGAAGGGGTGAGGTATAATACAGTGAAGGGGTGACGTATAATACAGTGAAGGGGTGAGGTATAATACAGTGAAGGGGTGAGGTATAATACAGTGAAGGGGTGAAGGGGTGAGGTATAATACAGTGAAGGGGTGAAGGGGTGACGTATAATACAGTGAAGGGGTGACGTATAATACAGTGAAGGAGTGAGGTATAATACAGTGAAGGGGTGAGGTATAATACAGTGAAGGGGTGAGGTATAATACAGTGAAGGGGTGAAGGGGTGAGGTATAATACAGTGAAGGGGTGAAGGGGTGACGTATAATACAGTGAAGGGGTGACGTATAATACAGTGAAGGAGTGAGGTATAATACAGTGAAGGGGTGAGGTATAATACAGTGAAGGGGTGAGGTATAATACAGTGAAGGGGTGAAGGGTGAGGTATAATACAGTGAAGGGGTGAAGGGGTGAGGTATAATACAGTGAAGGGGTGAAGGGGTGACGTATAATACAGTGAAGGGGTGAAGGGGTGAGGTATAATACAGTGAAGGGGTGAAGGGGTGACGTATAATACAGTGAAGGGGTGAAGGGGTGACGTATAATACAGTGAAGGGGTGAAGGGTGAGGTATAATACAGTGAAGGGGTGAAGGGGTGAGGTATAATACAGTGAAGGGTGAAGGGGTGAAGTATAATACAGTGAAGGGGTGAGGGGGTGAGGTATAATACAGTGAAGGGGTGAGGGGGTGAGGTATAATACAGTGAAGGGGTGAAGGGGTGACGTATAATACAGTGAAGGGGTGAGGGGGTGAGGTATAATACAGTGAAGGGGTGAGGTATAATACAGTGAAGGCGTGAAGGGGTGACGTATAATACAGTGAAGGGGTGAGGGGGTGAGGTATAATACAGTGAAGGGGTGAAGGGGGTTAGTGTTATCATAGTAAGAGGGCTGACTCCTGATAATGAAGGGGTGAAGGGGTTAGTGTTATCATAGTAAGAGGGCTGACTCCTGATAATGAAGGGGTGAAGGGGTTAGTGTTATCATAGTAAGAGGGCTGACTCCTGATAATGAAGGGTGAAGGGGTTAGTGTTATCATAGTAAGAGGGCTGACTCCTGATAATGAAGGGGTGAAGGGGTTAGTGTTATCATAGTAGAGGGCTGACTCCTGATAATGAAGGGGTGAAGGGGTTAGTGTTATCATAGTAAGAGGGCTGACTCCTGATAATGAAGGGGTGAAGGGGTTAGTGTTATCATAGTAAGAGGGCTGACTCCTGATAATGAAGGGGTGAAGGGGTTAGTGTTATCATAGTAAGAGGGCTGACTCCTGATAATGAAGGGGTGAAGGGGTGAAGGGTGACGTATAATACAGTGAAGGGGTGAAGGGTGAAGTATAATACAGTGAAGGGGTGAAGGGGTTAGTGTTATCATAGTAAGAGGGCTGACTCCTGATAATGAAGGGTGAAGGGGTTAGTGTTATCATAGTAAGAGGGCTGACTCCTGATAATGAAGGGCTGGAAGGTAGAGAACATCAACACAAACAAACATTAAAAACATCAAATGTAAACTTAAATAAATTTTGATAAATGAGAAAAACTATTATTTTCAACTTGATTATTAACATCACAAATAGTTTATGTAATCATTATTCTTCTGAATTATTAATTTTATTTACATGTTTACATTATTTTGTATGTTATCATAATATCATTTATATTATTTATGTAATACCTTTATTTGTGGTGATGGTGATTGTAGAGGATTGTACACAAGCTAGGGTAAGGAGCAGTTACACACACACATATCCACATATGATCACCACATTCAAGATTTTCAAGGGAATCGACAGGGTTGATAAAGACAGGGTATTTAACACAAGGGCACACGCACTAGGGGACACAGGTGGAAACTGAGCGCCCAAATGAGCCACAGAGATATTAGAAAGAACTTTTTTAGTGTCAGAGTGGTCGACAAATGGAATACATTAGGCAGTGATGTGGTGGAGGCTGACTCCATACACAGTTTCAAGTGTAGATATGATAGAGCCCAGTAGGCTCAGGAACCTGTACACCTGTTGATTGACGGTTAAGAGGCGGGACCAAAGAGCCAGAGCTCCACCCCCGCGAGTACAATTAGGTAAGTACACACACACACACACACACACACACACACACACACACACACACACACACACACACACACACACACACACACACACACACACACACACACACACATCCTACTGCAAGAGATCCAACTGGTCTCCTGTGTTACGCTGTGACCTTCAATCATATAAATATGAGTTACGAATACAAAGATATTCCTCATCATAAATACAATTATTTTACTTGTATTCCATTATTCTAACAAATACCGTATTATTATCACACATTTATAGCATCATTATATTTTAAATAATGCTCAACTTACTTTCAGTGTGTCTATACATTATGCATATGCCAGAAGACTCAGGCATCCTTCTCCCTTAAATATCCTCTCCAGGTGGCATATAGTGGTTGGTAACACCTAATCTCCCTTCCCCTCTCCCTGGTAAGATAGTAGAGGGGTCGATACTGCTAACACCCCCCCACCCACCGCCCCCTGGTGAAGCACTCCAAGGGTCCAATAACAGTTAACACCCCCATCTCCATCTCCCCCTACACCACGTGGCGGTGTTGCCTGCACACAGTCACACACGACTACCTCAGTGAGCGTCCTGCACCACCACAGGGCCTGAGTAGCAGGCCACACAGTGTCCTGTACAGGAGCACCCTCCTCTGCGGGACTCTGTGCTTGATGCTGTTCCCTCAGCCCATCACAGCCTTCTTGTATGGCTCCATGAAATCAGACCTGTGTCACGGCAGGCAGGTGTGTGGGAGTCTAGCCCAAGGGTTGGAAGGGGTGGTGTTACTGTGGGAGACCAACACCAGGGTGTAGGAGGGTGGTGTTACTGTGGGAGACCAACATCAGGGTGGTGTTACTGTGGGAGACCAACAGCAGGGTGTAGGAGGGTGGTGTTACTGTGGGAGACCAACATCAGGGTGTAGGAGGGTGGTGTTACTGTGGGAGACCAACACCAGGGTGTAGGAGGGTGGTGTTACTGTGGGAGACCAACATCAGGGTGTAGGAGGGTGGTGTTACTGTGGGAGACCAACATCAGGGTGTAGGAGGGTGGTGTTACTGTGGGAGACCAACATCAGGGTGGTGTTACTGTGGGAGACCAACACCAGGGTGTAGGAGGGTGGTGTTACTGTGGGAGACCAACACCAGGGTGTAGGAGGGTGGTGTTACTGTGGGAGAC